GACACCCCGTTGCCGAAGGCGTTGCTGAGACACCCTTCTACCCCAAGAGTGACCACTCTTTCCTCAAGCTCAGTTACCTCACTTTCCTTCCCTCGGCTGAGGATTTCTACGACTGCAGGGTGGCGCACTGGGGCCTGGAAGAGCCGCTCCTCAGGCACTGGGGTACGCCGCATCCCTTTATTGTCCGTACACCCTGAGTTCTGTTCCACGTTACATGGTCTTGCCTTAGAGCCCTAAACCCCCAGGGCCACAGGTTTATTTCCCACAACTGTAAGTTTTATAATAATTGACTATACCCTTCTCCCAAAGTCCAGATGTCTTGTGCACTTCCAAACACACACATTGGTCCCCTTATACGACACCCTGCATACAGCGCCCTTTGACCCTGTGAGCTTCTTTTTTCTTAGAGCCTGAGATTCCAGCCCCCATGTCAGAGCTGACAGAGACTGTGGTCTGTGCCCTGGGGCTGGCCGTGGGCCTCGTGGGCATTGTGGCGGGCTCCGTGCTAACCATCCGCCGGCTGCACGCAGGGGCTGCCTCCAGGAGCTGGAGGAACACATGAGTCTCAGCCTGGGAAGTGGGAAGGTAGGAATCAGGTGTACAGATCTGGGGTGATGTTTCTGCAGGTAGTGAAGCCGGCGGGGGAGGATTGGCACCCAGGATACATAAATGTGTTTGAAAATTTGTGGGAAAATTGAAGAATGGGTTGACCTTGGGACAGGAATGGAGGACCCACCAATCTCGTGCTGTTTCCTGTTTCAGGTCATCGGTCTTCATAAGAAAGAAGAGGAATGGTTCAGACTCAGTTCCCTGTCTTGGCCTTGATGAATGACCTAGACCTGCTCCCTGCTCCTTCCTCAGCCTCCTCATCTCCCCACTTGAGTGGAACTTGTGACCAATTTTTCCTTCAGAGACCACTGACCTTTATGAATTCTTCCTACTCAGTCTTCATTCATCTCCTACCTTTCACAGAAAAACCTGGGCCATTCTGCCCAGCCACCTGGTTCTTAGTGACTCTAATTCAATATCTGTACTGAAAAAAAATTTTATCTCTTTCCTGGGTATCTTTGTTTAGAGTATAATTTTCTCTAAATGGATAAATATGGGAGACCTCATGCTGGAATGTTAGCAGACGTCTCAGCTCATTTAACCTCTTTCTCAGGTCATGTTAATAGCACACAGTCAACGTGTCCAAATGATATTGTAACATAACAAACTTGTTTTTTTCCTTTCTGTACTTCCATTTTGTTCTCTCTCTCCTTACCCACTTAGGTATCAGTGAGGACAGTGCAAACTTTCCCCCCTCACTGTAATGTTTTTTATATCCAAAAAATACCAAAAAATGAGGAAGGGACAATATTTAGGTTTTTTATTTTAAAATAGAATTCAAAAATCTGTGAAAGAGACAAAAAAATTGAAATAAAGTATTTTAAATACAAAATTGGATTTTGAGAATAAAAGTGAAATTTTTGTCGTAAGTATTAGATTTGTGACAAATGCAGAATGATCTGAGAGGTTTCCTCCCCACTTTCTTCCCTAGATTAGACAGAAACTGTAGGTTGAGAAGAGACAGAAGTCAGAAGTGAGAGCAGCAACAGGAGACCGCAGTGTGTTCCCTGGGAGTCCCCATACTCTGCTCTTATTTGGGCGAATATCAGTGAGAAAGGAGAGATGGAGGGCAGTGGCTGGCTAACGGGCCTCACTTCCCTGTAGGCACCTCCCTTTGGCAAGAGCATAAATACAATTTAAACTCACTTCATGTCCAAGCTTGTGGGTTATGTTTATTGATAACATTTTAATTTGGGTTGTTGTTATTATAGGAGACTTTGGAGGTTAACTGAGATTTTAGTAATATATTAATGCCACAATATTTCTAATTTACATACTAGTAGAATGTAATCCTTCAGTAACCACAAAATAGGCTGTTGAGAGGACCCACGAGTCAATGCATGTAAAACACTTAGGCTAATATGTGCCACACAGTAAGCCCCAAATACATTTGAACTAGGAGTATGATTTATATGATCTGGTCTTGAAACTCTAATCTCCATGCCCAAACGTTGGGAACCGAGTTTAGTCCAGGTTGAGCATTCTTTTTGCTTAAATTATTAGTTTTCTACATCTTACACAGTTCCAGATATTAGGCATTCTTACCTTTCTTGCTTTCTTACTTATTTTATTATGGTAAACTAGAGGCCTAGTGCACAAAATTTGTGCACGGGTAGGGTCCTTAGGCCTGGCCAGGGCCTTCACTGCCGGCTGGGGCCTCCTTTCCCCAGCTGCCAGCTGGCGCCTTTCTTCATTCCGTGCCCCCATCTGGTGGTTAGTGCACATCATAGCAAGCAGTTGAACTCCCAGTCGAACAACCGCCCAAGGGGACAATTTGCATATTAGCCTTTTATATGTAGAGAGATATGGATGACATGACATTTACCATGTTAGCCATTTTTAAGTCTATGTTTCAGTGACATTAAGCACAGTCACATTGCTGTGCAACCATCACCACCATCCATTTTCAAAATGTTTTCCATCCCAAACTGAAACTCTGTACCCATTAAACAATAACTCCATCCCCATCCTCCCTCCAGCCCCTGACAAACACCATTCTACTTTTTCTCTAAATAAAGTTGACCATTTTATCATGTTGTAGTATGTATCAGAATTTCCTTTCTTTATGAGGTTGAATAATATTTCAATGTATGTGTATACCACATTTTGTTTATCCAGTCATCCATCAATATACATTTGAATTGTTTCCACCTTTGGTTACTGTGAAAAATACTGCTATGAATATTGGTGTACAAATATCTATTCCAATTCCTGTTTTCTATTCTTTTGAATATATATATCCCCAATTTCTGGATCACATGGTAATTCTAATTGATTTAAGAACCACCATACTGTTTTTTACAGTGGCTGCAATATTCTACATTTCCAACAGCAATGCACAAGGGTTCCAATTTTCCTACATCCACACCAACACTTGATATTTTCCAAATTTTTTTATCATAACCCTCTTAATGGGTGTGTATAATTACACACAAAAAGGGATGTATTTAATTATTTTAACAATAAAGATTTAAGTTTTAAAATTTTTTTAAAGAAAATGATGAATCATATGAAATATTTATCAAAAGAAATAAAACCAATAAATAAAATTTTATTTTTCTGAAATTCAAAATGATGAGTACATAAGGAAATAATTTTCACAATTTCAGAGTAATATTTTCCTCTTAAGGGAAAGGTTGGTAATTAGAAGGTGCACACAGGCTGCTTCTGGGAGGCCAGCTGTGTTCAGTCTTTAATCTGTGTGCTACTATTCCTTTCTCTCTCTCTCTCTCTCTCATATATATATATATTTCCAAAAGAAATGCTACTATTAAATCTCCCATTATGAAAGCCTTATTCTCAAGTTATGAACTAGAGAAAGGTACATATATCCAGGTCAGGAAATATAAATCCAATTTATTTTGAGAACTTATACTTTAAGGTAAGTGATGTGTTAAAGTTAAAAGAAGGGAAGAACTTTTAAACTATTATAAATTTAAGATCCTATGCTCTCCAAGAATGTGAACCTATGAGGAAAGCATTGTTGCTGAGGATTATGGTGATTCTCACCATACCATCCTCATTAAAGGACCCCAGTCTAAGTCTAAGTATACAGAGCATGTATTGTAAGGGCAATATATAGAAAATAGTAAATATCTTATGTTGAATGATGGGACTCTCTCTTTTAAAATGTCTTATGGTAAAAATTAATTAATTAATTAATTTAATTTAATGTCTTATGGTGGCAAAGCCTCTAAAAGAATATCACCAGTGATGTTTTAGTGCAAGTTACAAATGCCAACCTCAGCAGAGATCTGAAACTGGAAGTGGTAGACCTCATGTATGCGACCCAAAGCAAGACAAAAGGGAAGAGGTAAAACTTCATGGAAAAAGTAAAGACCTTAAAAATAAAAAGAGAGGGGAAGTGAATCATTGGTATAGCTAGTTCCTGAAAGCAACTTAGAAGTAACAGAGAATTAGAAATAATGAATAGGCTTTTGTACTCTGCAGAAAAACTAATGTTTGGTTCAGATTTCACTCATGTATTGAAAAAGAGTGAATGTTGAAGTATAGTTTTAGGTAGCTTAATCAGAATCATATTCTCCTGAATTTCACATTCCAAAAAACAAAGTAAAAGAATTATCTAGACCTAAACAAATTGCTTTTATATGTTATAAAATTGTGAAAAAAAGTTATTTGCATGTGTTGATAGAAGAATATAGAAAGAGTTGGGTAGTTACTACTTTCAGACTTGATTCAGGGTTCCGTTAACAGTACAAGGGGGGTTAATGAATGTTGGATAAGCAATGTGGAGCAATGATTTTAAGAATCCCATAAAATTCAAAAAATACTAGGTTAATTTCTTGTCTCTCTAAATTTACAGGGAAATAAATCTTACTGAAAATATGTTATAGTTTTTTTTGTTTTTTTAATATATTTTTTATTGATTAAGATATTACACATGTGTCCTTATCCCCACGTTACCCCCTACCCCCCCCCGCTCATGCCCTCACCCCCCCCCCTGTTGTCCGTGTCCATTGGTTAGACCTATATGCTTGCGTGTAAGTCCTTTGGTTGAACTTTTCCCCTTAACCTCCACCCTCTCCTATCTGAGCCCGACATTCCGATTGATGCCTCTTCTGTCTCTGGATCAGTCCTTGTTCATTAGTTTATGTTGTTCATTATATTCCACAAATGAGTGAGATCATGTGGTATTTATCCTTCTCTGACTGACTTATTTCACTTAGCATAATGCTCTCTAGTTCCATCCATGCTGTGGCAAATGGTAAGAGTTCCTTTTTCTTCTTCCTCTTCTTAAAGAATACCTTTCAGCATTTCATATAATGCTGGTTTGGTGGTGATGAACTCCTTTAGCTTTTGCTTATCTGTGAAGCTCTTTATCTGACCTTCAATTCTGAATGATAGCTTTGCTGGATAAAGTCATCTTGGTTGTAGGTTCTTGCTATTCATCACTTTGAATATTTCTTGCCACTCTCTTCTGGCCTGCATGGTTTCTGTTGAGAAATCAGCTGACAGTCGTAGGGGTACTCCCTTGTAGGTAACTGACTTTTTTTCTCTTGCTGCTTTTAAGATTCTCTCTTTGTCTTTTGCTCTTGGCATTTTAATTATGATGTGTCTTGGTGTGGTCTTCTTTGGATGCCTTTTGTTTGGGGTTCACTGTGCTTCCTGGACTTGTAAGTCTATCTCTTTCACCAGGTAAGGGAAGTTTTCTGTCATTATTTCTTCAAATAGGTTTTCAATATCTTGCTCTCTCTCTTCTTCTGGCACCCCTATAATTCTGATGTTGGTACGCTTGAAGTTGTCCCAGAGGCTCCTTACACTATCTTCATATTTTTGGATTCTTTTTGCTTTTTGCTTTTTCGGTTGGGTATTTTTTGTTTCTTCGTATTTCCAATCTTTGACTTGATTCTTGGGATCCTCTTGTCTGCTGTTGGATCTCTGTATATTATTCTTTATTTCAGTCAGTGTATGCTTAATTTATAGTTGGTCTTT